AAAAAAAAAAAAAAAATCCGTAGCAAAATGACAATTTCAAAAGGGAGAAAGGTTTATCAACTAATTCAGAAGAAGCAAAAAGAAGAAGAAAAAGAGAGAGAGAAGGGAAAGCCAGAATCTGAGCAAACAAAAAAAAAAAAAAACAATGCAGATCATACATGATATTTGCTAATAACTCTTCAATGGTTTACGCTTAACCTTACTTTCTCACTTCTCCCTCAATTTACTCCTTTTATTGATTTGGCATATAAAATTTATTTCTTTTTTTTTTTGCTTTGCTTTGTTTCGTCCCTCAAACAAGAGAAGAGATGCCGATCTACTTTGCCTTTCATCACCAATATATCATTTACGATCAAATAATAATAATAATAATAATAATAATAATAATAATAATATTTACAGAAGATATATATATATATATATACATCTTTACAGATGCAGTGTTGTTGACCCAGTAGTAATAAAAACAGCAGAAAAAGGAAAAATAAAAAGAAGAAAAAAGAAATACTAAGGATGAAGAGTACAGTTTGTACCTTACCGCATCATGTACACCTCTTCATTCTTGTGATTTACTATTTGTTCATTACCCCTTCCCCCTCTCTACTGTTTCTGCTATTAAAAATAAATACTACTTATGGGTGTTTAACCCTGCAGAAAAGTCACTAAACTAAATAGACTGTTCTCCTGTTAACATTTCCTTTACGAGTTTTAAATTCGCGCAGAATGACCACCACGGGTAATTAAAAGAAGTTGGTGTGATTCCCTCCACTCCCGCATCGCCAGCCCACGCAATGCTGTAACCCACAATAGGTGCAGCAAGAGCATAAGAGAGAGAACCGCCTTTCACAATAGACACGAGAATGAGAGCGGCACCGAATAAAGTGCCAAGAAAGTGACAGCGACGTGTCATTTGTTTCATGTGTTTGGCCAAGTAGAAAATGTAAAACTCCGAGAAGTTGGAGAACTTCACATCAAGTTTGAGGTTAAGACTGACCATGGATATTTAAAATGTGTGGTTTCCTTTCTTCCTTTTTCTTTGTTTTTTTTTTTTTTTCTTTTTTTCGGGTATCTGTAAATATATATATATATATATATATATATATATCTATATATATATACGGTTCTTAAAGTGGCTTTTCTTTCTTTTTTCTTTTTATTTAGCTGATTTTGTTCTTCGCATGTGTTTAATGATGACAATAAAAAAAGAAGAGAAGAAAAAAGAAAAAGTAATAATATGTAAAACAAAAAGAAATATAATACTATTCAAAGGCAAATTTCCTTTTTTTTTTGTTATTATTGTTGTTTTTGTTCTTTTGAGTCAGGGTTTATGACTCTTTTTGTATACAGTATCATTCTTCAATGTACATCTCGCTCAGGTACAGACCATACATCTGTCCTAAGATTCTTTTTTCTTTTCCTTTTCCTTTCTTTCGTATTTTCCTTCTTGTTGCTCTTTTTTTCTTCGTTAGTGAAATTGAAAGTAAAAAAGAAAAAAAAAAAAAAAGCAACAACACACCACAAAGAAAATAAAGTAAGCTACAAATGTTCATACATATGTAACGTTCCATTTGTTTACATGTATGTATGTTTACTTGTGTGATGTAGGTATGTACGCATGAAGAATATCGAGAGATTACTTTCTTTCTTTCTTTCTTCACTTCTCTTCTTTGTTCCTCGTATTCTTTTTTTATTCTTTTTCTTTCCTCACTTCTCCAAGAATATATATATATAGACACATACATACACACATACAGACAGACAGACAGACAGACCACCCTCCCCTCTCTCTCTCTCTCTCTCTCTGTTCTCTTTCCTCTAACTTGACTTCTTCCCTCCCTTCTTCTTCTTCTTCCCCTCTGCGGAGCTACTCTTCGCCAAGAGTTGATTCACGATGGCCTGCACCTCTGCGATGGTGTTGCGGTACTCCTTCCGCTGCGCCGACCAGCGCTGCGTGTCCTCCTGCAGCTCCCGCAGCTGTTCCCGCTTCGCCGCCTCCCGCTGGGGGCCGTTGTTGAGGGCCTCGTCCAACTCCGCCCGCAGCGCCGCGTGGGCCGCCTCGACCTCCGCCCGCAGTGCGGCCTCCGCCTCGTAGCGCTCGCGGCCGGAGACGACGTCCAACTCCGTCTGCCGCTGCGCCGCGAGGAGCTCCTCGTCGAGGCGGGACTTCGCCTCGTGGCAGTGCGTCTCCATCTCCAGGCCGTTCTCCAGCGCCTCCTGCAGTTCCCGCTCCCGCTTGCTGCAGTCCGCCTTCTCCTGCTTGAACTGCACCTCAAAGGCGTCCAGCGCACGGCCAAGCTCGAGTTTCTTCTGCTGCAGCTCCTCCAGCTCCGCACGGGCCTCGTCCAGCTTGTACATCTGGTAGTGCAGACGGATCACATCCTTCTCTAGCTCATCCTTCTCCATGTTGCGGTAGGCCTCACGGTTGCGGGCAGTGAGCTTCTCCACCCGCAACACCGTATGGTGACCAATGCTATTTCCCTGCATCTCACACCGTAGAAGGGAATGGTTACTCTCTAATAATGCCGCAAATGCCTCACCAGCATCCTCGGTAATGTGATTCTCTCCTATATGCAATCGCTGCAGCGTCTTATTCTCCGCAAGAGATACACCAAGGGCAATTACACCACGCTCTCCCATCCATGTATGGGCCAAATTAAGGGAAAGTAACTTGTTATTAGCCTCCAACATACTAGCAAAGGCACAAGCACCCTCATCTCGTAAGATATTTCCTTCCAGAGAAACATCTTGCAAACATGCATGTTGATAAAGAGCTCTAGCCAACATAACAGCTCCTTCGGCTGTAATAGCATTGTGTTTTAAGTGTAAAGTTTGTAATGCTCCATTACTTGAAAGAGCTTGACATAATGTTGCCATTGCTGTATCATTAACACCACAATTATCCAAATGTAAACGTATCACCACACGATCACTTGAAAGTGAAGAAAATATACGTGGTGGTGCCGTATGAGAATTTGGTTGCATTAATGGATTATTACTTAGTAATATAGTATGTAATGCGGAAGGATTTTGATGTAAAGCTCGACCATGAATAAGGTCTCCAAAAGCATCACCGACCGCTCCTGTAAGAGAATTACCGGAGAGATCTATAAAGGCAAAACTGCTACTTTGTGTAGCTGCATGAATTAGTCGTAAAGCCGCATCTGTAGTTAATTGTACCTCACGTAATTTGAGTGTTGTAAGAGTTGTTGAATTAGTAATTAACTCTGCCAATACATCAATAGGACGTCGATTGCCTCCTCCAAGACCAAGCATATTAGCTCCATCTTCTGTACCTGTACCACTTTTAGCTCCTGCAGCACTTGTAAGTGAAATATAACGATTACGTGCTGCTGCAGAAGTTGCACGGCTACTGGATCCATGCGAAGGTGGACGTACCGCGAGTTCTGTCATTGCCATTCGTTGTTTTACATTATTAACAGTAACACCACTACTGCTGCTACTAGAGACAGAACCCGTACCAACCAAACCACGATCCCCAATAGAACTGCCACTCACATCCAAATGTCGTAATGTTCGACTTCGAAGACATCCCTCCAGTAGCATTGTGGCACTTGTTTCGTTGATGCGATTGGCATAGGCATCAGACTTGGAGGATCCGAGAATAAGAGTCCGCAGCTTCTTATGACTGGCCACCACAAAGCTTAATACTTGAATCCCAAGTGGACCAATATCATTGGCGCCGAGATCTAGATAGAGTAAATTAGGGAGATCGCGTATGAGGTGGGCCAACATCTCACAGCCGCTATCCCGCAGGGTATTGCCGTGTAAATCGAGACGAGTGAGGGGAGAACGGTGTAAAAGGGCTGCGAGGCTGGCGGCCACATTTGCACCTAAACGTTCTTTTCGCATAATGATCTGATGATCGCCAAATCCCCGTTCAATCACCTCGCGGAAGAGTTTACGGGAGTCATTTGTGTTCTTTTCACCCGTGTCTTTTAGCCATGCGAGGTATAATTCCCCAAAGACCTGATCTTCCGATACACCAACAGAGGCAAACATATTTTGTGTCTATATTTTTTTGTGGTTTGTGGTATAAATGAGAAATAATTTCCTGTTTCTTTCTCTCTCTTGTGCTTTTTTTTTTTTTTTTTTTTTTTTTTCTTTTTTTTTTCTTCTTCTTTTCACTTACTTGTAGAACCTGCACCAGAAGTAACAGCAGGAGCGGTAGAAAGGATTCTTTCTTTATTTTTTTTCTTTCTTTCTGTTCTTCCTAGTTTCGCTCTTGGCGCTGTCGGAGAAAACGAGTAATCAGAGAGAAGAGAGAAAAACAGTACAAGCTTGCGAGTTAGAAATAAAAGCAAAAGTAATTATGTTTATATATCATTTCCACGTCTATTATGATTATTATTATTATTATTATTATCATTATCATCTATGATAAAAACAAACAAGTGACAACTAATAGAGTCAGTAGATGAATTGAATAAATAAATAAATAAAACAAAAAAAAATAACTAAATATATACAAATATATATATTTAGAAGCAATAATTAATGTATACAACGTCCAAACGATACTCCTCAGAGACTCTTCAACCTTCTACTCTCTCTCTCTTACCCATACGCATCCCCTTCTCTCTTCTCTCTTCTTCATATTTTTATTCCTCCTCTTTTTCCTTTTTTTCCTTTTCCTTCTCTAACCGTTGTCGATCCCGAGGAGATACACCTAATCTCCGTCGTACATATCTCTCACTCGCCTCGCTAGTCATCACAATAGTCTGTGTACGCAATGGCCCAAACTGCACATGCACATCTGTACGCTTTGACGCTGGCAGCTCCGACTCTAATCCCCGCACCTGTTCTCCATCTGTAATGCTTACATCAATCATTGGTGGTAAGGCCACCTCTGTCTCTGGTAGATCCAAATACGATAACTTGTCTAACCGCAGATGTGGAGGAAGAAAATCATTACTAGGAAATGTACCGGGTTCTAACAGTTGTTTATACTCACCCCACATCACAAGATAGGTACAGCGGCTGTATGTAGTGCTAAATCCAGCCCGCCGCATACTCAACCAAAACATCGCCAGACATGTGAATCCACTCCAAAGAGCGAGAAAGACAAATTTACCACGGTGCTTTACATATATCTGCATAGCTCCAGTCACCAGATACACTAAGAGTGGTTTTACAGAATTTTTAAATACAATTATTATTATTATTATTATTATTATTATTATTATTATTATTATTATTATTATTATTATTATTATTATTATTNTTAAATACAATTATTATTATTATTATTATTATTATTATTATTATTATTATTATTATTATTATTATTATTATTATTATTATTATTTTTCTTTGGGGAGAGGGGGTACTAAGATAGCGTAAAGGACTCTATACCTCCTTACAGTATTCTTTTGAATTAATTGATTCTTTCTTTCCTTCTATTCTTTTCTTGATGTTGTTACTCCTATGATTGGCAACAGTTGTAAAAGAGGAGTGAATTATCTCTTGTCCTCCTATGATTGAAATTAAGAAAAAATTAATCAGTAGTAAAAAAAAAAAATAATAATAATTAATAATAATAACGTTCCTGATATATAAAGAGAAAAAGAAACAAACCATCAAAGTAAAAGAGACACGACTCAATATTAACATCAACTTTTCTTTTTCTATTTTTCTTCGTCACTATCATGTATGATGAATCACAAGGATACCACAGCAGTTGAAAAAAAAAAAAAAAAAAATTACATACATTCAGGTGAACTACAATAAATAAATAAATAAATAAATAAATAAATAAAAGTATGATCGACCAAAGAAGAAAAAAAAAAAAAAGGATGTCTGCAGATTACCCACTAAGAGAGACACATCATTTCTAATTTACGTTACTACACTCCATAGATCCTGCAGAGTGACGCCAGTGCGGAGCTTCTCCACCGCGAGACCAATAGAGACATCAAACTCCGGTCGACGATCGACACCTTTCTGCCCAATATCGGCATAATATGCAGCGAAGGCGTCTGTTTGGACTTCCTTCACAACATCCTCACCATCCTGCACTCGTGGCTGCGGAGCTGCAGTCTTTGATGATGATGATGATAATAAAGATGCTGCGGCTGTTGCTGTTGCTGTTGTTGTTCCTCCTACTCCTTCTTCTCCTGTTGCTGTTGTTGTGATGGCAGTAGAGGCATCTGTATTATTATTATTATTATTATTATTATTATTATTATTATTATTATTATTATTTCCATTTCCCACGGTATCTTGCAGGACCACCGCAACGCCCAATATAGGATGTGCTGTCCATGCCTTCCATAGAGAAACGGATTCCTTAAATAACTCAACTAGTCGCTCCTTTGGATCTATACGGAATCCAAGTACGTAATTCCCTGCAAAGTTAGATGTTTCAATTACAAAGGCTTGACCAAATCGTGTTTGTCGTATATGTAAACCTACGATTTGTAGAAATGGTATAGATACATTAAAGTTGGATGCCGGTTGGGCACACCAGGCAAGACGAATGTTTGTTGTAAAGAATATCCCAATATGTCCCTGATCATTACTTACATTACTCACCCCCCGTTGACGTGAGAAGAGTTTTTCATCCGGTAATAAGATTAAATCATTATCGCGAACAATAGATGTACGAAGTCGTAAATCACGATATAAACGACTGGATTCATACGCACGCCAAACTGACATTACAGTGGAACAAAGACGGGCATCTTGTAATAAATATGTAAATACAAATTCAAATCGACTACCACTAAATCTCGCTACTATATATAATGCCTCTGTAGATCCACGTAGACGTGAGGAGGTTTGTTTCATTTCCATATTTTGCATTCCATAATAACCAATACTAAGATTCTTACGTCTAGTTAGACAACTATGCCATAAACACCGCAGATTAGTAACGAAAAAAACTCCCTCTTCTCCATTATTTCCCTTTGTGTCTTCTACGGGACGAATAGTGGCCAGCAGTAATTCCCCACGGGCGGTTTGAACCTCAAAATCAGCGGAGGAAATATCAAAACGAACTTCACGGTCGTACCAGAAGGTAAAGGCTTTCATCACAGATGCATTCTGTGCAGAAGTGGATGATGAAGAGGAAGAAGAAGGCATGATACTCTTTACTATTAATATATATATATATATATATATATATATATATACTTACAGAGCTAATAGAAATATAATAATAATAATAATAATAATAATAATAATAATAATAATAATAATAAAGAGCTATTCTATGATTCCACAAGGGAAATAAGCCTCTAGTATTTCTATACAGTTGGGGGTAAAATCAAATAAAAACCAAACAATCTGGAGAATCCTTGTAAATGAGATAAAGAAAAGAGGGAGAAATAAATGAATTAAAAATAATAATAGCAAGATTAAAATAGAAAGAAACACATACACACAAAAAAAAAAAACGTGGAGTAACAAAATGAATATATATAAAAGGAAGAGTGTAGTGAAAATAATGATCACATCTGTGGGTAGACAAATAATAATAAAGGCTAATCGTTAAAAAAAAAGATGTACGTATAAATCATACGTACATGCACACACTTACTGAGTCTTTTATCTCTCCCACAGAGAAATATAAATAAATAAATATATATATATATCCTTTTATTCCGCTCTCTGCTCAATATATATATATAAGACAACACTACTAAAAAAAAAGAAGGAATGGCTGCAAAAACGAAAAAAAAAAATGCACAGATGGTAAATCAATAAAGAGAAATAAAATCAGACTAATAATAATAATAATAATAATAATAATAATAATAATAATAATATAATCATAACAAGCACATCATAGTAAGATAATAAAAGATACTGCACCCGAAACCTGCTCTCCTTTCTTTTCTTTCTTTTTCTTTCTCTTTCACTTCTCTGTCGCCTTTATATTCTTCCCTTCCTTTTTCTCTCCATCTTTTGTGGCCTTTTCCCTATTCTGCGGATTCAGAAATGGATGATCCAACAGACTCGCCGCCGTCCCACGATCTTTCGGATCTGGTTGAAAACATATTTCCATAAATCCCTTTGCTGCCTCACTAATATGCTCAGGAATGATAGGATGCTCCTCTGGATGTGAACAGATATAATGTAAAAGAGCCGGTATAGGTTGTATAGGATGATGTTCATCTGCTGAGGAATTATCGGAAGAAGATAATAGTGAAGAAAGCCGTAGATGCGACCAGGGAAGTTTGCCTGTGAAGAGTTCAGACATAATCGCCCCCACTGCCCAGAGATCACTCCCGAATGAAAAGCGACCAGAGAGAATAGTCTCGCGGGCCATATACCGTGGAGTCCCTGCCACTCCCGTCTCCACCGCAGAGGCCTCCTCACTTAATAAACGACTAAGCCCAAAGTCAGTTAAACGAAGCATACCGCTGTGATCAACAAGAATATTTTGCGGTTTAAGATCACGGTGAATAATACCGTGTGTATGTAGACAATGGAGAGCGGAGATAATTTGATATATATAGGAACGAACAAGACCTTCATGTAAACCTGTGGAGGAAGAGGAAGCACTAACATCTTTCATCATATCATATAATGAACCTCCAGCAGCCCATTCAAGAAATAAACGGGCATGTTGATGTCCAACATGATAAGCAATCAAACGAATAATATTGGGATGTTCAATATTGGAAAGAAGTTCAAACTCAGATCGCAATTCCTCAGCATTGCTGTTATCATGTGATTTCCCTAATGGAACTTCCTTCACCGCAATAAGTTGTCCCGTATTTAAATTAATACATTTAAAGACAGTACCAAATCCACCACGACCAAGTTGTGAAACTCGTCTATACTTTTCACCTGCAGCTGTAATAAACACTAAAGAAGAATCTTCTGATGACTCCGATACTAAAGAAGATGATGATGATAATGTCTTCTCACTCTTAGACTGAAGGACGACGTTAACTGGATTTGGATTAACCGCATGCATGTCTTTCTCCTTTTTAGGTTTATTCTCATTCTTATTATTATTATTATTATTATTATTATTATTATTATTATTATTATTATTATTATTATTATTATTATTATTATTATTATTATGTGGTGGTATACCTTCCATACCAGCCTGATAGACACGACGTCTCTGTTGTTGTATTCGCATTCGTAATTGTTCTTTTCTCTCTGCAGATGTGAAATGCCGCTGCTGGCGAATATTCCACAGCCGAACAGCAATAGAGACTGCACAGCCAATTGTCACTACACCAACCGCAATAGGCCAAACTCGCCCGCCCATCGCCACTACAGAAGATCCATCAGAAGATGGAAGGGAATCGGATATTAATGTAGTGGTAGAAGAACTCCCACTGTTATTATTATTATTATTGATATCCACAGCCGTACGTAATATTCGACTCCGTGGGAGATTGAGGTAAAACACATCGGACATTCTATCGCTCTCTCTCTCACATGCAGACACACGTTCCAATACTCTTTTGTCTTTGTTTTTTTTTTCTTTTTTATCTTCTTTATCTTCTTGAGAAATGAAAAAAGAAAAGAAGAAAACAGAAAAGAAGAAAAAAGAATGAAGCCAAACAGAAAAAAAAAAAATAATAATAAAGAAACAAGAATAGTACAAATAAATATATATATATATATACTGGAGATAAATACAGAAATGGATTGAGGAAAGGTGATAAACATGGGAGAGGTGGTAAGAGAAAAAGCGATAGAACGTTTCTTTTTTTCTTTTCATTCTGTCTCTTACTATCTAATATATATATATATATATATATCTTTCCCACTCCCATAGAATTCAATCTCGCCTTCTTTTATTTCTTTTCTTTTTTTTTTTTTGTTGTTGTTGTCTTTTTCCCATTTCTATCATACACATACACACAGAGAGAGAGAAGCGCACGCCTTACTCACAGGTGTATGTATCCTTCTCTAGTTTTCCCCTTTCGCCACCACTTACTACTACTATCAAAAAAAAGAAGAAAATAACAAACAAATATACCGTTTCCAAAGAAGAATAAATAAATAAAAGAAAATAAAAAGAAAAAAAAGAGAAAAACAAACAAACAAAGGTTTTCTAATTACCATAAGTTCAACCCCTTTCTTCTCTTTTTTCCTCTTTTTTTTTCTTTTTTCTTCTTCTTCTTCCTTTTATTTCTTTTCTTTTCTCTTCTCCTAGTTGCCGCAAGAAAAGAAATTGAAATAATAATAATAATAAACTCGACAACAGGAAGTCATAGCGATGTCTTTTTCTTTTCTTTTCTTTTCTTTTTTACTGTTGGTTTGATTGTAATGATAAAAGTGGCTTTTTTTTCATGAACACTCATCATTGGCCAAAGAACAATACCACCAAACTGTTAAGAAGAAAAGAAGAAAAAAAAAAAAACACACATGCCCCTTACCTCCTACTGTTTTCTTTTTTTTTTTCTCTCTTTTCCAATATGGCTGCTACTACTATTGCCATTCTCTTCATCTCAGAAATGTTAACGCAAATTCCGACCAACTCCAATCTTCTCCCAAGTATTGATAAGGAGGTTATTATATATATTTTTTTTTTTCTGTTTGTGATTGTTTGTTTGTTTTTTTTCTTTTCCCTCCATCAAAACCCTTCTCCTATTTCCCTTCCCTCGTTTTGTTTTCATTTGTTTTTTGTTTTTTTTTGTTTTTTTCGTTCTTTTTTTTTTCTCATATTTCTGTTTGCCTTGTTATATATACTTGCTTGTTTGCAAATTCCTACATATAGTCATATGTTAACAATAAAAATAATAATAAAGAAAAAAGAAAAAAAAAAACCTCTTCTTCTTCTTCTTCTTCATTCTTTTTTAAATCTTATCGGAGAGTTTCCGCCATTCCTTCATCTTCTGCACGAGTGCCTTGTGATCGGCGTTCTTTGTGAGTTCCGCGGCCCGTGCGTAAATCTCCAGCAGCCGCCCATCGCCGTTGTACTCGTGCACGACGTGCGACCACTCCTCCAGCTGCGCGAGATCGGAGCAGCCGCGAATGGCCTCCGACGTGATATCGCGCGAGGGGTCGACGTCGTCGAGGAGTTCCTTCACGACCTCGCGGAGATCACTCTCGTAGCCGTTGGCCTTTGCCTCCGCGGCGTACTCCTTCTCGACGTTCTGCACGACACTCAACATCTCGCGGCGCGCCGTCGGGTCGTTGGCGGCGACCGTCTGGAAGTCGTCGAAGTAAACAATGTGATATTTCTCCGGCAGCCACGCGGTGAGGCGGGCGGCGATCTCCGCGCGGTCGGCGGGGTGCAGTTCGGTGTTGACGTTCCAGCGGGTCTTCTCCCGCAGGGAGTTGGGGGAGCCGCCGGGGAGAATGTCGAGGCGATTGTCCTCCGCGAGCTCGTTGGCGCGAATGCACTTCACGTACTTCATCTCCGCCTGCACGTGTTCCTCGTCGAAGATGCGGGCAATCATCGTGTTCTCCACGCGCTCGTTGGCGGGAGTGCTGGACTTGCGGTCCTTCAACAACTGCTGCGCCCGGGCCACCGTGTTGGACTGCTTCTCCAGACGGAATCGCACCTCATTGCCAAACTCCTTGCGGTTCAAATGTCCATTCAGGCGATCCGCGTCGAAGAGAAGACACTCGTAACTGCTCGCGAAGTCCACATGCGGGAGAACAGACTTGGCGAAGTTTGTTTCCTCCTCCGTGCGTTCACGCGGCCGCATCCAACTGGGCGGCTCGCCGGTGAATTTGTAGTTGTGGCTGTCGAGCTCCAACGCGTGGCCGTACCAGCGATCGTGATCGTGGCGCCGTTGGTGTAGAAGAATGGATGGCACTACGGCAGCACTACCGCTGCTCGCACCAGCGGCAAGAGTGGCTGTGAGAGATCGACGGGCAAACATAATAATGAATGTAGATTTAGATATAGATATAGTAATATCTCTCTTTTTTTCTTTTTGTCTAATAGACTAGTTGTTGTTATAGTTATTGGCTGTTTGTTTTTTGTTTTTTGTTTTTTTTGGGGTTTTTTTTTTTTTTTTCTCTTTTTCGAGATTCCTACAGAAAGCTAGATTTCTGTAAAAGAAAGAAGAAAGAAAGAAAGAAAGAAACAGGGAAAGAAGATAAGAAGATTTAATAGAAGATCCATTCAGAATATATATATATATATACCTAAGAGAAAGAGGGAGAAGAATGATCTCCAGCAAATAAATCTCATTGATGTAAAAAAGAAAATGGTACTGAGAGCAACAATAGTGGAAGAGAAAAAAGAAAGAAAGAAGGAAAGAAGAAAAAAAAAAGGTATTGTTGTTGTTCTTGTTGTTAAAGAAAGAAAGAAAGAAATAGTAAAGGGGAAAAAAGAATTCAAATTGCTATTCTTTTCTCTCTTTTTTTTTTTTTGTTTATTATCATCTCTTATGCTCACTTTCGTTGTTACTTCAATACCATTACAAGAAGAAGAAGAAGGTAGTGGTAGCAAAAAAAAAAAGATTTTTTTCTTTTTTAAAAAAAGAGAAGAAACAAAAAAAAACAAAAAAAAAAGCAACAGCAACAGAAGTGAGAAACGAAAATAGAGAAAAAAAAAAAAGAGAGAAAAATTATCGGCAAAGAAAGAACAACAAAAAGAAAAAAGAAAATAAAAGAAAACACATGGGAAGAAAATGGAAGTAAGAGAAGTAAGAGAAGAAAGAAAGATAATAATAAAAATAAAAAAATAATTATTTTTGGGATTACTACTAACATTATCATTTATTCCCTTTTCCTTTCTTCTCTTCTCTTCTCTTCTATTTATTTTTTCTTTTTTCTATTTTTTTTTTTCTTTTTATCTCTTCTGTGTACATCTCTCTCTCTCTCTACTGCTCTCCACTACTCCTTTACGTATTTCTACTGCACTGTACTCTTTCATTCATTCATTCATTCTCTTTTTCTCTCTTCTCTCTTTACTTCTCTTTATTGGCTCTAACTAAACTATACAAAGAAATAAAGAAAGAAAGTACACAAGTACATACAGTAAATATTGAAGTAGAAGCCAATATAAATAGAAATAAAGAGAAATAGAAAATAATATATATATATATATATATATATATATATATATATAAGCACAGG